ATGGAGGACACATAGATTCTAACCATTTGCAATTTCCACAGTGGAACAGTGAGGCATGATATTGCAGTGGTAAGTTACGCTAGAGTGCCCTCAAGTGGTGAGAAACACACATTGAATGACTAAAAGGATGCTTGCACAAAATCTTATCTTACACTGGAGAAGTATTAACATCTGTATTGTGTGTATGAGTGTGCGTTTTCTAGTATTCTGCAATTTCATTATTTTGTATTCCAAATAAACAGTGTTGGGGAGTAACAGATTACATGTACCAGAGTTATGTAATCAGAGTACAAATTATGAGTAAATGTATTCAGTTACAGTTACTGTTTCAATGAGTGGTAATTGGATTACAGTTATTTTGTTGAAATAAATGGATTACGTGGTGGTATTTTCCTGTTTTCACATTCTGGGCTAAACCAGGACTAAAACCAGGACTAAACCAGGACTAAACCAGGACTAAACCAGGACTAAACCAGGACTAAACCCAGGACTAAAACCAGGACTAAACCAGGACTAAACCAGGACTAAACCCAGGACTAAACCAGGACTAAACCCAGGACTAAACCAGGACTAAACCAGGACAGGATTAAACCCAGGACTAAACCAGGACTAAACCAGGACTAAAACCAGGACTAAATCAGGTCTAAATGAGGTCTAATCCAGGACTAAAACAAGGTCTAAACCAGGACTAAACCAGGACTAAACCAGGTCTAAATTAGGTCTAATCCAGGACTAAAACGAGGTCTAAACCAGGACTAAACCAGGTCTAAACCAGGTTTAAACCAGGGTTAAACCAGGACTAAAACCAGGACTAAAACCAGGACTAAAACCAGGACTAAACCAGGACTAAACCAGGACTAAACCAGGACTAAAACCAGGACTAAATCCAGGACTAAACCAGGACTAACCAGGTCTAAACCAGGGCCAATTTGAAGAGAACAAACATGAATTTTCAGGATGTGGTTAGTACATGCATCTAGTTTTAAAAACCATGACAATATCAAGTAATCCAACGTATTCAGATTACGTTATTCACCTCAAGTAACTTAATAGATTCCGTTACAAACTACATTTTGGTGTATGTAATCTGTAATCTGTAGGGGGATACATTTTAAAAGTAACCTTCCCAACACTGCAAATAAAATACTTTACCTCAAGATACTGTAGTTTTACAAAGTAGGCTATTTTTGACCAAGGTAGAAAAAAGTATTGTAAAAGATATGTACGAAGTAAGTGTATCGTCATAGTTATGTATTGTTTAAGTGGTTGGTTAAAGGTGCATTGTGTAACTTTTCTGGTGGAGTGTCTGTCAAATGTTTTTCTACATTAAGATGCTATTGCTTTGTCTGGAATGTTTCACAGTATGGCATTAAACCTTTCTATCAGCATGGACAACAAACCAGACCACGTTACAGGTCAGATCTGTGGAGAGGCGACCTCACTCACAGTCAGAATGCTTGTTTTTCAATGTATTTTTGAGTTATAAAACCAATGTAAGATGCAGAGCTGTTTAATGCCATAGTGTGGAACATTCCAAGCAGAACAATAGCATATCCAGGAAAACAAGCAGGTAACGGAACCCCCAACCAAAAAGTTACATAGTGCACCTTTAAATTACCTAAGTTTCATACCTTTTAAGATTCCTGTTTATAGGTGACATTTTGCAAACTTTTAATCTTTGAAAAGACAATTTCAAATAGTTCATGGCAACAGTCCTATTTTTTCATAATTTTGAAACCCATGAATAGTAGTATTTTTGTAGTCATAGTTAATATAGTATAGTACTTTCTATTCAAAGATGTATTTACATTTCTATTATTTTATATAAACTACAAAATCAGAATGCTTTTATTAGGCAACTTCACAAAACTGTTGCTACTTGGCGTAATAATAATCATTTATTTAACTACTATGCGTTTTTAATATGAGTAACTTCCTTGTTGTTTATGAAGTAGGTCTGGTGCCCTCTGCTGGCTGACAGGGGTAGTGTGAAGATATGACTGTCACCACAGGAACTGACTGTGTGGTCGAGATTACTAACATTAACTATGAACGGATGAGTCAGGAACACACAGGAAGTCAGCAGCCAGCCACCACACAGCAGTTATAAGGTCAGCACGCCTGGTACTGAGGACTACTTCTACTACTACTACTATGAACAATAATTATATCTCCTAAAACCTAAAAGGATTGACACAAAAGATTCTTATGTACAGTATATGCTTAATATTGTGGGTATATGAACGTAGTGTGTATACAGTTATTTATACAGTCAACCAAACTGAAAAAAGTTACACATTATAGCTTTAAGGTTTAAGAAATTTCACAAATTCTAGTTGTACATTATGTAACTCAACTCAACAATGTAGAAGCCAACAGTGTAGAACTCCACCACTAATATTTATATAATTTTACTACTACTACTGTATTTATAACTTTTTTAGGATTCATCAAAAAATTGTTAAGTTAAGGAGGTACACTCTGCAACTTTTCTACTCGAAGATCCTGCTTTTCTTCCTGGATATGATATTTCTTTACCTAGAATGTTTCATAGTATGGCATTAAATGTATCTTTCTTTCCAGAGACAGCCAGCTGACTTGGGTGACCCTATTACATGTTGGATCTGTGCAGAGGCGACCCCTGACAGTAACAATGTTTTTTTTTTCTGTTGTGTTTTGTTTCATTCACACATGAATGAGTAACCTTTTATTATTAGTCTGTCTACATCTCTAAACCTCAAAAAGCTCTGTTCCACCTTGTGATGTCATGAAGTGGTATTTTTCACGTTAACAGCTACGTTTTACCTTTTGTTCAGTACAGTGGCAATTCCAGGGCTGAAATCATCCAAATTATTTTAGTGAAGGTGTGTGGAGTTTAAAACACAGTGGTGCGCTTCATTTATTACATGAAATCATAAGGTGGAACAGAGTGTTTTCTGTTTAAGAGAAGAACTCAGCTTAAACATGCAGGGTTTGTGTAAATGTAACAAAACACAACTCCAGGTATGTTTGTGATCAGGAAACAATATTATAGCATAGATTAGCAAACAGAGTAATATGGGCCTTTTAAGTTTTAGTTTACTCTACCACATGAACATGGACTGACTCATTGTAAATGACATCCAGAACACTGCAGCTCGGGTCCACACACGAACTAGGAAGTACGAGCACATAAGTCCTGTGCTCAGGTCTCTGCACTGGCTTCCTGTGGCTCAGAAAATAGACTTTAAAGCAGCTCTGCTTGTGTACAAGTCTCTCCATGGCCGAGCACCAAAGTACATCTGTGACATGTTAGTGTCATAATGAACCATCTCATACACTGAGGAGCTCAGGGACCGGCCTCCTGCTGATGCTGATGATGAGTCACGACTAAACAAGGGGAGTCAGCGTTTCAGGTTCATGCAGCTAAAACCTGGAACAGTCTTCCTGAACATGTGAGACAGGCCTCTTCTGTGATGCTGTTTAAATCCAGGCTCAAAACAGTTCTGTTTAGATGTGCATATGAAAGTTTTTTTATTCCACACTCTTCTCTCTAATTTATGTAATTAATCTCTCTCTCTCTCTTTTTTTATTTTAATTTTATGATGTTTTGATTTGTGTTATTGTGATTTTAATGTATTTCTTATTCTGTAAAGCATTTTGAATTACTTTGTGTACAAATTGTGCTATACAAATAAACTTGCCTTGCCTTGCCTAAATGGAGTCTATATGTGGTCTGAGCTTTTTCACAGTGTGACTTATATTGCACTGACTTACAACTAAAACTATATGACCACTTAATCTGTATCATGTATCGTATGTGGGACAGGAAATGTAGATGAGTGACAAATGAAAATAACACCGTAAAATGAGCTCTACTTTACGGTCTCTATACTTTTATTATTAACCTATTCAAACTCTATTTTCACTCAGACGTGTGCTTCAACAAGTACTGCAATGGGAAACTTCAAAAGGTACATTATGTAACTTCTACAGTAAGGTGGAGGGTTGACTACTTGCTTGTGTCCACAGAGATGTTATTTCTTTGCACGGAATGTTCCACAGTATGGCATTCAACATATCTGCCTATTTGCATATATTCAGTTACAATTTTTTATAGCTCAAAAATATCTTATAAAACATAAAGTTATTATGCACATTCTATGCTACTATGCACACAGATCTGTTCCATTGTGTTACAGCCCCAGGCCTTCAGTTCTGACTTGTTTTGTGTGATTTTAATTATTTTGCTGGCTGTCCTGATTCCTGCTGTGGGAGTCCCGGTCTGTGATTGGTGGGGCACATCTTCACCTGGCCAATCCTGCTTCACCCCCAGCCTCCTCCCCCTAGTTAAGGAGATTGCCAATACTTGTTCAAGGCTGCCGGTCTTTGTGGCCAGTCTGCCATATTGTGTTTGCATGTGTCTCTTTCGTGTCAGTCACTTGTGTTGTACTAGTACGTGTCTGAGTTTTGTTGTGACACTAGTTTAGTTTTTTTTTTTTGTGCCTTTTAAATTGTGTCACTCGATTCTGTTTGTGGGTTTATGTGGTTTTATTTTGGGGCACTTGTATTTTAGTTTTGTGTGTCCCTTAGTTTAATTTTTCTGTAAGCCTGCGTGACCTGTTTTTTTGGCACAAAACTCGTATGTTAATTCTGTTTTGTTTCTTAGTTTAGGTTATTTTCTGTATATATTTTAGTCTGTTTTGTTAATTTACCTTTCACATCCGTGTTGATTAAACATTATTTAATTTATTCCATTATCCGTCATGGTTTTTCATTACTTCCTTGACCCCAACGAGCTGGGTCATGACAATTGTGATAACCAAGTTTATTTCCATACTGTAGAGTAATCAAGGCAAAGCAATTGCAGTTCCATGGAGACGAGCAGGAGGCAACCCCTCCACCAGAAAAGTTACACAGTGCACCTTTAAAGGCCCTGCTGATTTTATTTGAGCAAAATATGTCTTGTCCCAATACAGATATATTGTGCAGCTCTTGAGGTCAAAATAAGACAGCAACGCTTTATTAAAAAGCATTTTATTCTCCAATAATCAGGAAGTGCACATTAGCATGCCAGCTGTTGTTAGCTGTACCGTCATGGCAAACTCTCTGGTGTCTTACAGTTGAAAGAAAATTGAATAAATAAATTGGATTTACATTTTTAAGACAATTAAGATCAAGCAAGGTGTATTTAAAGGTGCACTATGTAACTTTTTGGTTGAGGGTCCGTCTCGTCGCTTGTTTCTATAAATATGTCATTGCTTTGCTTAAAATGTTCCACAGTATGACATTAAACAGCTTTACCTTACATTTATTCAATTACAGATGGTTTTAAAGCTCAAAAATACCTAGAAAAACAAGTTGTTTTTCTGTCTGTGAGTGGGGTTGCCTCTCCACAGATCTGACCTGTAACTTGTGCTGGTTTGGTCTCCAGTAGGACAGAAAGGTTTAATACTATCTCCATGGAGACAAGCATTTGACAGCTCCTCCACCAGAAAAGTTACACCATGCACCTTTAAGTACAAAACATTTACTGTCTTGTTAAGATAGATAAACTTTTTAGTGTATCAGCTATCAGCCTTACATTTTCAGCACACACCAATATTTTGTTTTGGTCAACGCTGTCTAAAAATACACAAAGTTTTATTTTAACACAGAGAATTGCACAAAATGTGACCACACAGCTCTTTTATAGGTTTATAGGACTTGTAAAAAAAAAAAAAAAAATTATATAATTCAAAATCGACCCAGAATATTGGCCGAAAAATATCAGTCAAAGCATATCATCCATTTGTTTCTTTGGTCATCCATTGGTTTCTTTGGATTAGACTGCCATGCAAAAAAAAAAAAAAAAGCATATTGGTCCAATTCTCTTTAGTATATATCCCTATATCATATACTGAGAATACATTAGGTGATTTCAATTTTATTCATTTTTATTCATTCATATATTATAATCTCATATTGAATTTACGTATATTTTTATTTGCCACTTTTGGACACACTCTGTATCGCTGTGATCCATTCTTTTCGTTCATCGCTTGTTGCTGCTTGTAAATAGTAATGCGTCTCTTCTGATGTTATGATTTCAAATAGGTTCCCCTCTACATCATACTTCTTAGCTGAAAAACACCACAAAAACATCATTATAAAATTCTATGCATAATGGATGTGTTATATAACGTATGGCCTACCATCGGGGACGTAATCCACTGCTGTAATCACACAAGAGCGCAGGTGAATGGAGCCCAGGGGTTCATCTTCCTCCTACATAAAACATAAAGAATTTCAATAGCCTTTCCCATCACACTCCAAATGTATTTAGTCAGAACAATAAGTACCTTTGTGGGATCATAGTAATGGAGATAGGCTGGGTCGTCACGGAGAATGAATTTACGCACTTTCCAGTTCTTTACTCTGTGTCCCTATGACAAAAGAGATAGAGATTATGGAATTATAAACTATATTATAAAGGTCCAGTATTACACAAAATTGAGTTGCGATTTGTTTTGTTCACACATGTTTGAGTAATCCTGCATTATTACATTGTGCTTTGTTTCACCTTATGATGTCATGTAGTGGTGATTTTCAAGTTAATGGATACCTTTTACCATGTTCAGTAGAGACTAGCAATTCCAGGGCTGAAATGATCCAAAATGATTCTAGTGAAGGTGTATGGAGTTCAGAAACACAGTGGAGCTCTTCCTGTATTACCACCATGGTATCGCAAAGTTATAACATACAGTAAGTCAGAAAATAGTGTAATATGAGCCAGGAAAGCATGTTACACAGACAGAGGCGGCGCTACCATTAGGCAACAGTAGGTGACTGGCTGGGGCCCCTGAACCTGGAGGGACCCCCAACCAATTTCCCTCAGTGCCACTAATGGCCGAGGCCTCCGAGCAATTTGATTTTCTCTCAGTATGACATTAAATGAGAGTAGTTTACTTAAAAAAAAACTCAAACAAACAAAAAAACTGCATCAAAATAGTATTTGAATGTCAAATCTATTTTAACTAACTCAAAGCTTTCCCCCTTTCACGTTAGAATGGACTAGTCCGCTTGGCTCTGATTTGAACATAATCATAGCATAATCATAATCATATGTAATGGATGTAAACAAAAATGTAATTGTACTAGTAAAAAATAAAACTACTTTCAGCTCTTGTTATCTAGTAGACTTCCTAGCTAATAAGACAACTTTCCAATTCACTCTAATTCAAATAAAGATTTGCGTGCCACATGAACAATGGGGAAAAACAGACAATAAAACAACAACAAAACAGTGCATTATAGTGAGGGCCCCAATCTCAAGTTCGCCTAGGGCCCCCAAATTGCTAACTCCACCACTGTACACAGACACTATTATTGTATGTGGTGGACAAATGATCACATTTAGATACCATAACTCTATATGTATTCTTTTGTATCTTTTTGAATCTTAAAGTTAAATGTGATTAAAAAGGGTTTCTTAATTATAAGTGAACCATGTTTGTCTCAATTAAAGGAATTTCATAAACTTGATCTAACTTGACATCATATAATTGTAATGTTATTATTTGGGTGTTTTTGTTTCCAAGACAATCGTCCAATCAGAAAGCAGAATGAACTTCACATGAGTGTCTCATTTGGGTTGCCAGTTATAATGCTGAAATCCAGTTTAAACCTAAAATGCCTCTTTTTGATCTGAGTGGTCACTATACCCAGAGCATGCAGCCAGCCTTAAAATCCTTACATTTTTTTATTCTCATTGCGGTTTATTTTGCACAATCATAAGCAATGCATTTTCCTTCATTAATATTAGTTTCTATGACCAGAAATAAAAACGAAGAAGTACTTACATTTTTGTTGTGTCATTCTGACTGTGGTTTATTTTGCACAAGTCATAAACAATAAACTTTTGCACCATTGTTATCATCATTATTATCAGTTTCTACGACCATAAATGAAAACCAAAATCCTTACTTTTTCTTATTACTGTTTACTTTGTATGTTCATAAACGATAAACAGTAGTACTTTTTTCATCACTGTTATTAGTTTGTATGACCCTAAACAAACACAAAAATCTTTACATTTTACATTCTCATTATTGTTACGTACATATCCTTTTTGTTTTGTTTTTTTTTTTTTTCTGGGTTAACTTCCTTTAAAATAGCTTGCATATTATAACATCTTTAATAACAACATTAAATTTAAATAGCATTTTTCAGCACCCTGATTTACATTGCTTTATTTATCCAGCTGCCCAGATGCATATCAGCAGAAATGTGGTTTACAGCCTCTCAGACACATAGTTACCGCAATACTTCTTATTTAACGGTATTTAAGTATACAATTTTGTTTTATTAAAGTTTAGTAAAAATGTTCTCCCCGGAAGCTGTATTAGGTTATGAATTTCCCAGTGTACCAAGACTCAATTTAACTTGTCAATTTCCATTATCATAATACAATCGACTTATTCATTCATATTAATATATTCTGGAACTGCAAACCCCAAAATATGATAAGTGCTTTCAGTATTCAGACTAAAGTTCCCCATTTTGCATGCATTACCGTAACTGAGCAAAATGCAAAATGTATGTGCACAAGGCTAAACTTTATGCATTTTTATTCTCTATATTGATACTTTGCGCCTGGTGTGGGGGTGTGATGCTAACTGCAAGCACTACTCAAGTTAGACTAGACAATTTTCAGTTAGTCCCTGTCCCACCTTTTTGTTGAAAATCACCTAAACAGGACCATAAATGCTTGTATTGCTCACAGGTAGCTGAAAACGTGCTATTTGAATCCTTTTTTGTTCTTATTTTTATTTATTTATTTTTATTTTTTTGAATTTTCAGACTTAAAGGTGTACCGTGTAACTTTTCTGGAGAGGGTCTGCAGTCTGTTTGCTTCCATGGAGACGTTAATGTTTTGGTTTAAATTGTCCACAGTATGGGTATTAAAGGGACAGTCTGTAATTTTGGACATAGGACCTCATTTCTTAGTTAGCTAGAGTGTCGGAGACGTGTGGAGACACTTTTTAAACTATTCCATCCAGTCCTTGTATTTGCAGAGGTCACTGGTGCTAGGCTAGTGCATGTCAATGGCCATAGTTAGCCTGCTACTAAAAACAGTCTTACCCACCCCCCAAAACACCCGAAGCAAATCTGTTATTACACCAGACTATCGATGTGAATGTCTGTGTTGAGAGAATAATGTTGAGGGATTATTTTCTCAGCACAAGCGGAATTTTACTTTGCCCATAAGATTGGTGCTAGGTGATATCAGTCCGCCACTGCCAAGCTTTATATCAGGAAGTACAAATCGCTGCTGCTGCTCAGACATAAATACTTCAAATGCAAAGTTAGTTTTATTTCAAACATTATTCTATCAACAGACATTTACATTGACAGTCTGGCATTATAATTGTTTTGTGGAGTGGGTAAGACTGTTTTTAATGGCAGGCTAACTATGGCCATTGACATGCGCTAGCCTAGCACCAGCGACCTCTGCAAATACAAGGACTGGATGGAATATTTTTAAAAGTGTCTCCACACGTCTCCAACACTCTGACTCACTAGAAAATGAGGTCCTATGTCCAAAATTTCAGACTGTCCCTTTAAACCAGGGATCTCCAACCTGTAGCTCGGGAGCTACCAATAGCTCTCCACCCCCTTACGAGTAGCTCGCCAAGGGATATCTGAATCATACGTATTGTGCTGAATAACTAAAATCTGATGTAATGCAATGCCTATTATCATTGTAAATGTGTAATTTTTATGTCTATCATTGTACACTAATAAATGGATCATAACTATGTAAATGGTATAGGCATCACACTGTACCCATCTAAAGGCTCTTATATTTATTTCTGGCGGCCACTAATATGAGTAGCTCTCTAGCATTTTTGTTTTGTAAAGGTCGCTCACCAGAGGAAAAGGTTGGAGACCTCTGCTTTAAACTAATCTGTCCAACTACTGTGGAGTTTTCTAGGCACATCTCCATGGAGACAGGCAAGTGACAGACCCTCCACCGCACAAGATACACAGTGCACCTTTGAAACATTTTGACAGTGTTTGCTAATGTGTGCCATCATGGTGACTAGTGAACATTCCCCCCAACAAAAATAAGTACAAAAAATACACGTAGAACACCTCCAGCATGATGTCACTGCAAAGTAAATAAGAGACATGCAGTGCTGTGTGACTTTATGGGCCTGTATCCTAGAATAACTCACCTGTTTGAGTAGACACCCTTGTTTGATGATGTTTCCTCTGAACTCCTCCTTCACCAGTATGTCTTCATCACTGGAGTAGCCCTCACAGAAGAAGCCACTGTCCGCCTGTCAACACACGCTTTCTATCAGATCACAGATGACAGCCAAATGATGATTCCTACTGGTGTAAAGGGGAAAGAGAGGGTGATTTTGTGAACAGATCTGAGGTGCTATTTGTAAATGTCAAGATTGTGAGTTTTTGTGCCTACACCAAATACGTAAAGGGGACATGTTAAAGTTAAAAACAACCTTTATAAGCATTAAAGGTCCTATATTACACAAAATTGATGCCTGTGAGTTTTAAGACATGTTGTAATGTTGTTACCTCATCAAAAACATACCTGGAGTTGCGTTTTGTTTCATCCACACATGTTTGAGTAAATCTTTATTGTAGTAAGTCTGGATATATCTCCAAAGCTCAGAATGCTCTGTTCTACTTTGTGATGTCATGAAGTGGTAGTTTTCAAGTTAACAACTACAACTACTTTTAGTTCAGTAGACAATTCCAGGGCAGAAATCATCCAAATGATTCTAGTGAAAGTGTTTGGAGTTTAAAAGCACAGTGAAGCACTTCCTGAATTACCAGATGACATCACAAGGTGGAAAAATTGTGTAATATGGGCCCTTTAAATCATGTTAGAACAAAACTTCCTCATCATTCATTCATGTGCATGTTTGAGGTTTAAGAAAAGCCACTGTATTGACATGTAATTTAAAAAAAAAAGGTCATATACAGTTGATTTCAGTTCTGCAGTTTTAAACAGGAAGTCAATGCTCCAGTTTCTGTTAAGCTGTTTTAAATCAATATTGGTCCAATCTGCTGAGTCCAGTTTTGTTCAGAGATACGAGATAAGACTTTCTTTATAGTTTTTGTCCTGTTTTAGTCTGGGTCTAGTCCTGGTTTAGTCCTAGTTTAATTCTGCTGTAGTGTGTTTTACATCAGTACTCACAAAGTAGTATAGCGCCTCCGTCTGATCGAGCAGCACAGACCTCTCTGCGCAATGGGCCCCATCCTTGGACGTGTCTCCTGCCGGCTGGAGGAAGCCCTCGGTGAGCAGACCTGTCGCCAGCATCAGGGCTTCAGGTCTGTTCCTCGCCTTTTCTTTGGAGATGAGCCAGTCCACCACAGTCGCACCTGTTCAGAGTGCAGAGTATAGAAGTTACGCACTGACATAATTTTACTGATCAAAATCATACCTGGAGTTGTGATTTGTTTGATTCACACATTTAACACACAGATCCTGCATATTTAGGGTGTGTTCTTCTCTGAAACTGAAAACATTCGGTTCCACTTTCATGATGTGGGAATATAAGTTCTCCACTTTATTTTTAAACTCCATACACCTTCACTGGAATCATTTGGATAATGAAACATGAAGCAAAACACAACTCCAGTTATGTTTTTGAAGGAGTAACAGCATTATGAAGGCTTAAAGCTCACAAGAATCAGTTTTTTTAGGAACTTTAATCACACACAGACTCAGAAGCATCTTATTTAAGGAGAGAAAGGCTGATATGGAGTAAGAAAGCTTTCAGAAATATTTGTGTACATAGGATAGAAAACAGTGCATATTTGGGTGTAGTTGAGCATAAAATAAATATTTGCAAACTGTCTAATGAGTCCAGTCATACATAAAACATGTTGTGTGTAAAGTTACAACATCAAGAGTTATAATCACGAAATGAAAATGAACGACTACGCTTTCTTCAGTACGAATACAAATTCACACAAGCGACTTTTCTGGTTTCTTAGTTCAGTCCGTATGCGGCACAAAAGTCCAGCATCTAGATCGATGTTTCTTCTTCTAAATAAATAATGCTTGTGAAGTGATGATGTATTTTTGACAGTAAAGTTGCATCTGTGAATTCGTATTCATACTGAAGAAAGCTTAATTGTAAATTTTCATTTTGTGATGGTAATTTTTTATGTCATAACTTTTCAATTTGTATTCTGACGGATGAAATACACATTATACATTTTATGTACAACTGGAATCATTTGAGAGTTTACAAGTATTTATTTTATGCTCAACTACAGCCAAATAGCACAGAATTCTACCTTCTGCACATGAATATTTCTGATAGCTTTCTTACTCCATAGGTTGTGTTCACCATGACAACCACCAGGAAAAGCCTGTGTGTATCTGTGTGTGGGGTCAGTCTGTGGAATGGGTTGGGAGAAAACCTGAAGCAGTGCCCAAATATTCACAGCTTCAAAAGGAATTATAAAGAATTTTTGCTTTTGTGGTATAAGGGTGTGCGACAGCACTGGGTGATCTAGAAAAAAAGAAAAGTATATATATATATATATATATATATATATATATATATATATATATATATATATATATATATATATATATATATATATATATATATATATATATATATATATATATATATATATATATATATATATATATATATATATATATATATATGTATATATATATATATATATATATATATATATATATGTATAATCAGTGTGTGGTGTATGTATATGTGTATGTATGTATATGTGTATGTACAAATATATATATGTATGTGTGTATGTATGTGTATGCATAATATGTAATTTATTTTGCTATATGTAAATATTTGTTAAGTTCGGTGATCAATGTACAGAAGTAAACACATAATTTTTAAAACTATGTCATGAATAGGGGTGGGTTAAGATAATAATAATAACATTTTTCTTCTTCCCACTCCTTTTCGAGAAATGTGCTTTTCTGTTGTTTACAATGTATATGTAGTATACACGATTATTGTTTCTCGCTTGGCACAAACTCGAAATAAAAATGAATCAATCAATCAAAACTTTGTCTGATGCCAAAATCTGAATCAGTGTGAATCAAATGTGCGTGTAGCCTGCAATGTCTGCTACTGTTAACTTGTTTTCTTTGACTGTTACTTGATTCTTGTTTTAGATGTCATGGTACAAACTAAATATTTGAGGTATAGACTTTTATATTTGTTATTAAACTATAGCAGCTCACATTTTTTGACCATTACAGCAGAAAATGTCATTACTTCCCATTGACACTCACTCAAAATTCTGAAAGTTGTGATGTCATATATAGTACAATAACAGTTGTGTAAAAGTATTATGTGTACACAGCTGGAGAGGTATTGTTAGTAGTAGTGAGCAGTACCAGTGAAACAGTGGTTGTACACTTTGTTGTCCTGTTCTAGCCTCATCTCCTTAATGCCGTCGTCCTGGTCCTTCATCACAGCGTACAGCTGACTGTGGAGGAAAGGCAGAGAATAAGAAAGTAAATTAATAAAATTCTTCAGAAAGCTGGAAATATTCTTGTATATAAGCAGCTGTTTTCTGTCCGCATCTAAATTTAAAGGTTTCATTGTCAGGATAATCAGGAAGTGCGCTGCAGATTTTACTGGCACTTTGCCCAGTTTTAAAAGCTGTGAAATGCTTTTATAAACTCAACATAGAGAATAATTAGAATGCTCAGAATGCATAATGTAAGTGAGAAATAGGTTTGGATCACTACAAACTGTTTCAAATAAATAAAGTTTGTTTTTTGTTTTTGTTTTGTTTTTTTAAAGACCATAAAAATCAGGTACAATGTCTTTAGAATTTGTGTTTTCTTTAATTGAAAATAAAGTTGTCTGCCAACACCATTTACAGTTATATTATGTGTTAAATTTTAGACTGCATTTTTAAGAAAGCACCAATGTTAAAACAAGCTGAAGTTCACTGTAGAACTATACATATAATTATGCCTTTTTGACATCAGTTTCTTGCTATTTTTGCTACTTATTTTTATTATTACCATTTATACTGTATGTTTGCTTTGATGTGTGAGCTACTGTGTCCAAATAATTTCCCTTGTGGATCAATAAACTCTGTCTAAATCTGAGTCTAAAATGTATTTGCTATGTGCTATTTGTTTTCCTGTTTTTATGCTGCTGATAGTCTGGACAGTAGTGTTTTGTTTCTGTGTAATTTTTGGACTGAAATGACAAATACATTCTGACTGTGATTCTGATTCTGATTTTGATTCTGAACAAAACAAATAACAGTACTCTAAGTGTAATCTAGTAACAGGAACTAACAGACTGCCATTGTGTTTGTGTAGCCTTCGTGCCACATTGTGCTCGAATAGTGAAGTTGTGAGCAGCTTTATTTGACTAGATTTTATGTGAAATTCCCATTCATGTTTAGACTTGTATGAGTTATTGTGCAAACTGAATTTGTTCCGCTCTACAAATTGCTTTGTTCTGGGCTGTTCCATAAATGTGGTCATGAGCGTCCAGGGTGCAGGTGCTCAATTAAAAAAAAAAAAAAAAAACAGGGGCATTTATCAGGCACTTTATTAAGAGTCAAAAATGTTAAATTTATCTGTTATACGAGTTATGTGACCTGGAGTTATGTTTTTTTTTTTCATTTCCACACGTTTAACGCATAAACCCGTAATACAGGAAGTGCTCCTCTGTGTTTTTAAACTCCACACACTTCACTTGAATATTTTTTTTGATAATTACATTGCCAATCTCTACTAAACAAAAGTTAAAATGTACCTGTTAATATGAAAAATACTCATTCATCAACAAAAAACTTGGATTGCAGTAATTGTGACAATGTATGTATGTATGCAAGCTGTACTCGTGATTATCAAGAACTTCAGAACTCATGAATGTACAGTCAGTGTGATTAAGCTGCAGTTCAATTTTTAAAAAGTTGATCACAAAAAGTAAATAAATAAAATAAAAAATGCTCATTGATCCTCCTTACATCACAGGGTAGAACAGAGCATTTTGAGCTTTGGAGATAAATCATAATAAAGTTTGTCAAGTCAAGTAAAACGTGTGAATGAAACAAAACACAACTCAAGCTGTGTTTTTGATGTGGTAACACAATTCTAGCGTGGCTAAACACTCACAAGAGTCAATGTTGCACAGTATAGGATCTTTAAAGGTGCATCGTGTAACTTTTCTGGTGGCGAGCCTGTCAAATGCTTTTCCCCATGGAGATGTTATTGCTTTGTCTGGTATGTTTTCACAGTATGGTACCTTTCTATCTTCATGGAGACCAAACCGGACCAAGTTACAGGCCAGATCTGTGGAGAGGCGACCCCACTCACAGTCAGAATGCTTGTTTTTCTAGGTATTTAAGAGCTATAAAACCACCTGTAATTGAATAAATGTGAGGTAAAGCTGTTTAATGTCATACTGTGGAACATTCCAAACAGAGCAGTAACATACCCATGGAAAAAAAGCAAGTGACCAACGTCCAACCCCAAAAAGTTACATACTGCAACTGCAACTGCAACTTTATTTATAACGCACTTTAAAAACAACACAGGCTGACCAAAGGGCTACAGAACATAATTAATCAATAAAAACAATAAAAACTATAGAACAACAACACATAAAATGTCAACATCTCAAACTGTGTCAAAAGCCAAAGAGAAGAAGTGTGTTTTAAGATGAAATTTAAAAACAGGCACAGAAGTGGTCTGTCTAATGTGCAAAGGCAGCTCATTCCACAGTTTTGGTGCAGTCTTTGGCACACTCAGGAGGAGCTGAGAGACCGTGCAGGGGTGGAAGGACGGAGGAGCTCAGAGAGGTACAGCAGGGTGGTACCATTAAAACACTTAAAAACAATTACAAGCAGTTTAAAATGGATCCTAAAGTGCATGGGCAGCCGGTGAAGGGAAGATAAAATGAGGGTGGTGTGCTCATGTTTTCGAGTGCGAGTTAAAAGACGCGCAGCCGCATTTTGGACGAGCTACAGTTGGGAAATGGACTGACTCACCCCAACATAAAGTGCGTTACAGTAATCCAGCCGGGTGTTCACAAAGGCGTGGATCACTGTTTTAAAGTGCTGATGTGCCAGAAGATACATATTATACTATTTTGTTTAACTTGTATTTGAATTGAGTCCTTTTCACATGTTATTCCTTTCTTTATTTCACTACAGTATTACCCTGTGCGTACCTGAGGTTGACGGTCTCGGGCAGGCGGATGGATTTGCGGGTGGACTTACGGGCGAACTTCTTGCCCGCCTCCAGACACCTCAGCACCCTCTTCAGGTCCTTCACCCACGCCTCCCTCTCCTCCACATGGGACGCCTGGAAGAAGTGGTCCTGTTTCTTCTCCGTGGTGACCTTAAACACCACCTGCAAATACACATGTGTTTTTTTAGATGATAAAATGGTGAATCTTTATCTACAACTAATGTATTTATCCAACTGAAGTAAAGTGCTTTGATTAATTGGTGTAAAGTGCAGACTTCTAAACAGCTACTGACCCTGACGAACTTGGAACAAACAGAGTGATTAAACCTAGGTGTTACGTAACAAAACATAAAAATCCATTAGTAGATTTCTGTCCTTTTCATTTGGCACAGAGACAGTCTGTTTAATGAAAAAGTTTGAACAGTTTGAAAAGTTTGGACACACATTTTCATTTATGTTTCTTCTTTTCTTATGTGATTTTTACATTGTAGAACTGACTGAAGGCGTCAAAACTATGAAAGGGCGCATATGGAGTATAGCAAACAAACAAACAAAAATAAGCTCAGAATAACTCCAAACTTGTTTTAGATTTGAGATTTTGAAAAAGCCGCTCTTTGATTTGAACGCTAATTTTGCACTTCATTACAATTATATACAAATATAGCTATATCCTGGATAAAAAACAGTCTTTTTTATTGTATACAACTCATTATTAATCTCCTACATAACCGAGTGTATTGAGATTTGGGGCAATACATATAAGACTAACACAAATCCAATCTTTACATTGCAAAAAAAAAAGGCAATAAGAGCAATCATGTTATCAACTTAAAATGAATCAGCCAATACATTATTTATAAACCTTCAAACTCTGAAATTTTACGATTTAGTCAACCTTTACACTTTAAAAATCATGTTCAAAGTAAACAACAGTGTCTTGTCAAAATCATTACAGAATATGTTCAAAATCCGAAATAGCTGATGTGAGCCACGTTTATCAAAAAGAAAACCAGAACAAACATTATGAAATTTTGTATATTTGTTAAAGGGTGGACTTCTGGAACAACTGTACAGAAAACCTAAAATTGTGCACCACTCTCTTCTATTTAATAAATAAGTTTAAATATTTAACTCTGGGCAGATACATGAATTATGATTCTTAGTTTGTGCTCTAGTACTTTGTTGTACTGTTACTGATTAGTTTGTTTCCTCTTGCTGTATTTATGAAGATGAAGTGGGGTCAAGAAGACGCTCTGACAAAGGAATAAAGGGTAGGCGTAATAAGCTCAAGCTTCAGCCTACACCTTTTCGGTCTGTGTATGTAAAATATGACTAGCTGTGAAATAATGTCAGAATATACCCGTGACCGAAATAAGTCTATCAGTCAATCACAAATATTACTGAGAGAAGGCCAAGGGGTTGCAGCATTGTCAGCAAAGAAAAGGGTGGCTACTTTGAGGATTTGAATATAAAATAGAGTTATTTTTACTGTTTTGTCTTTGCTACATAATTCCATCTTTTTAATATATTTGATGTCTTCTGTATTTGTATAATAGTTAAAAAGTACATTAAAAAAAATGTGTGAACTTTTGACTGGAAAATATATTTACAAAGTTCTGCCAGATCTTCTTATCTTTGTATTACAAAAGTTTTATTTCCTTAAAAAAAGCATTGCAGGTTCTTACTCATTTATATATATTTTTAAATTCTGATTATGAAACTTGGGCGTCGCCAAAGCAAAGATGGCTCTGCATGGAAAAGTACATTTATCTTACTCATTAAAAGTGCACTGTGTAACTTTTTGGTTGGGAGTTTGTCACCTGCTTGTTGTATTTTTTTTTCAATTACAAGTGGTTTTAAAGCTCAAAAATACTTAGAAAAACAGGTACTCTGATGGTGAGCAGGGTTGCCTCTCCACAGATCTGACCTGTAACTGGGTCTGGTTTGGTCTCCATGAGGATAGAAAGGCTGAATATCATATTGTGAAATATTCCAGACAAAGCAATAACATCTCCATGGAGAAAAACATTTGACAAACCCTCCACCAGAAAAGTTACACAGTGCACCATCAGTACAACATTTCCATCATGACCACAGTGTAATAGTGGACAGATACTGAGTGTGAAATCATATCAGGTCTAACTCACTGTTCTTTTGTTGTAGTCCTGGCAGGGGCTGGTCAGCGTGGCTCCCTTCAGTGGGATCATTCCTTTTGGAGACTGGTCTGTTTTCTTCTTGTAAAACTCAATGCCATCTTCGGACAGGATCACCCACACCACCTTCCAAGTGTTCAACAGAGTGCCCTGGAAAACAATTGCACACTTGTAGTCTTGGTTTATTGTTTTGGTTTATATGATCTTTCAATCAATGTGTATTTTATTTGAAAGGACTGATATTAGGCTATTTTCTGATCTACAGTGTTATAATGCTGTTTCCTCCTTAAATGCAGACCTGGAGTTGTGTTTAGTTTCATTCACACATGTTTAACTCAGAAACTCTGCCTATTTAGGCTAAGTTCTTTCTTCAAATGAAAAACACACAGAAAATTCTTTGTTCCACCTTTCCATGTCATGTAGCAATACAGGAAGTGCTCCACTGTGTTTTTACACTCCATACACCTTCACTAGAACCATTTGGATTATTTCAGTGCTGGAACTGCCATTTTGCTAAACTAAAGGTAAAAGGTAAAAGATTAGTCAGGCTGGCTCCACTTAGAGCCTCCACTCAGTTTTATTTCTCTCCAATGACTAGATCAGGAATCAGAATAGACTAGACCAGGGGTGTCAAACTCAAATTCACAGAGGCCAAAATTAAAAACTGGGACTAAGTCGTGGGCCAAACTAAATATTTATTGAAGAATTTCAACAACATCTGCATGTTTTCTCTTCTTTCGAGATATGTCACTTTAAATCTTTTCTTATTAAAAAAAAATGTTTAATAATAGTTTTGCTTAAACATTGAATCCAGAACAAGCATAATATAAAATAAAAACAACATTTTAAATAATTGATGTCTCTGTAGCCTATCTGTAGCTGGCAGGCAGCTCTAATACATATTTGATATGATCTTGCAGGTCAAATATAATATCTGGGCCTGAGTTTGACATGTCTGCACTAGACGGTTTGCAAGAACCTCAGAAGTTGTAGACAGAGCACCAGCCAATCAGCAAAGAGCTGTGAAGCCATGACTTCAAACTCAAACGTCTGTCTGAGGCCCTTTTGTGGTGCAGCACAACAGTAAACAAAGTGATTGAGATGGATGTAAATGAATGATACATTCTGTGTTGGCAACGATTCCTGAGATCGAGGATTTTAAACAGGAACAAAGAGAATGTTTGGTGAATTTTATCAAGAGGAAAGACGTTATTGCTCTTCTTCCTACGGGATTTGGCGCATTACATACGTAGCAGTGATTGATTAAATAATAAAAAGTACCTGCCTACCATCAGGCAAATGAATCCTAATGAGGTCAGACAGTTTGCACAAAGTGAAACTGGATGATGAATCAGGCTGGCAAAAGGTAGCTGTTAACTTGAAAACCACATTACATCGGAGGATGGAACTTAACAGACTAATAATAAAGGATTACCTAAACCTGTAAGTGAAACAAATCACAACTGCGGGTATGTTTCTGATGAGGGAACAACATTCTAACATGACTTACAGCCCATGATGTTTATTCATGCTGTAGGATTGTGTAACTTTTCAGATGCTGGTGGGGGGTGACCACTACCTGCTTGTTTCCATGGAGATGTTATTGCTTTGTCTGGAATATTCCGCAATCTTGCATTTACTTACTTAGTTTTAGGTGTTTTTATTACCAAACATAATATGTGGGTTGCCTCTCCATGCACCTACCTGTAACTTAGTCTAATTGTCTCCATGGAGATAAATAAGTTAAATGCCATACTGCGAAACATTCAAGGCAAAGCAATAAGATCTCCATAGAGGTGATGGAACTTTCACTAAAAAGTTACACAGTGAACTTACACCAGTTATATTTGACCTGCGTTGTACCCTCAAATAAAATGAAGAAATGAAACAAAATGCCATTAGATGAAAATGCAGAAGTGAAACAAAAAAAAACTCTTTCAATAAATGAGATATTTATCAGAAACTCCATGACAAAATAGAAACGTCACTGTAATATTTTCCCATGCCCTTTCTAAATGGTTATCTTATCTTTATCTTATCTTATATTACCAAACACTAACTTATAAAATGTATAGAGGGTAAACAAGTCCACACATTTGGAAATACACCTATAGAGCTTTTACAAACAGCTAATAACGTAACATGTCAAACTGGAATAACTTTTTGGTTAGGAGTCTGTGAACACGCCTGAAATGTTCCACAGTATGATATTAAACTATTTCTATCATCATGGAGACCAAATTATAGGTCAGATCTCTGGAGAGGCAACCCCACTGACAGTCAGAACGCCTATTTTTCTAGGTATTTTTGAGCTATAAAACCACCTGTAATTGAATAAATGTAAAGTAGAGCTGTTTAATGTCACAATGTGGAACATTCCAGGCAGAGAAATGGGATATCGATAGAAACAAGCAGGTGAAGGACCGCAACCCCCATAATGTATCTTTACGCATACATTTTCTCATATTGCAAAACTAGTACTAAATAAATTCATAAATACTGACATATATACATATATACAGTACCAATTAAAAGTTTTTCGAACACCATACTTTTTCTTGTTTTTTTACTGTTTACTGTTGACCAAAACATATTCTGAACTTTTGATTCATGAAAGTGTCCACCTTTAGCCGATATAACAACTGAACAGACTCGTGGCATTTTTTTTTTTTTTTTTTTACAATAGAAATTAAATATTCTTCAGAAAGTTCTTCCCAAGTCTGTTGCAGAAGTTTTCATAAATGTGTTTGTAGGTTGTTTGGTTTTCACTCTTCTGTCCAGCTCATCCCAAATCAACTCTGCTGTGTTTTTAAACTCCATACATTCTTCACTAGAATTCAGTGGTGTAGTGAGGATTTTTTAAGTGGGGGTACGTGGTTCGTGACTTAACCAGGACTGAACCAGGATTAAACCAGGACTAAACCAGGTCTAAACCAGGTCTAAACCGGGTCTAAACCGGGTCTAAACCAGGTCTAAACCAGGTCTAAACTAGACCTAAACCAGGTCTAAACTAGACCTAAACCAGGTCTAAACCAGGTCTAAACCAGGTCTAAACCAGGTCTAAACCAGGACTACACCAGTACTATACCAGGCTTAAACCAGGTTTCCATAAATGTGTGGCATTTGTAGGTTTCTTGGCTTTCACTTTTCTGTCCAGTTCATGCCAAACCAGCTCGATTTTATTATCTTTTCCTGAGGTATTTTTGGCAGAGCTTGGACTTGTGTTTTGGTATTTTTTATCTTTTTTTTAACCTCTGGCTGTTCAGTTCTTACCTCTGTACCATTCCAAGCTCTTCACTGGACTCACATGACTTGAATTGCAGTAAATAACTGGAAAAAATTCTAAAACTTTTGACCGGTAGTGCCAATAAATAAACAAATAAATAAATAAATACATAAATGAAATAATCACAACCTTTTTGTGACCTATTTCTGCCACAGTGCAAAATCAGGAAGCTGTTTGTACAACACTGGAAATAAAATGTTGCTTAGGTCTGTGTGTCATTAGGAACTATCTTCCTGAGTTTAAGACTTTAACTGTAACACTGTACAACAACTACATTTAAACTACAGATTCACCGACAGTACAGGCTGTGGTGAATACAGACTCGGCATACTGATACTGCTTATAGTACTACAACTTCTAATAGCTCTACCCACGCAAATACTACAAAGTTACTGCTATTACTTGTATTTATCTTGCTGCATATTCCCATCCAAGTATTGTCTTTGTCATTAAACTCAATGCATAAAGTTAAGTAATATTAGCACTAATTAATTTACATAGTTTATAATTTGTAACTTAGACTACTTTGACTTTTTGCATGACTATTCCTCAATTATTTCTTGCAATCTTTTACCTATCTACATTTTTAAGACCGTGTAAGGGACTAGGTTATATTGAAATAGGTTTAACAATTTATATAAATAAAATTAGAAGTTTGAAAATATTACTGAAATTCCTCTATGTTATTTCTTGCAGTATTTTCTAACCCCATCAGCCTTACCTTCTTGACCAGGTAGCCCTCTCGGATCTGCTCAGGCTCTGCCATGTCTTCACCTTTACTCTACCGCAAGCTTGTGTGGTTTTGTCTTTATGCTCACATGTGGACTTGGGCTGCCTGTCATTCACACCCTCCCACACACTCATAGGAAGTACTTCGACACTACTGCGAGGGGGGGGGGCAGTACTCCTCAGCCTGCTTCCTGTTCTGTTGTGTTGTGATAGGGCGGACGCAGTACACACCCAGGAAAAGAGTTTATACTGAAATGAATATTTAGATGCATTTTTACTACTACTGTTTTAGAAGCATGTTGGTATGACACACTACCAGCATCATTGAAAGTGGAACAGAGAAACAGTAAAATTTATTTAAGTAAGTAAAAAGTAACTCCATAAATAAGTAGTAACACTTAAAGATATAAATATATAAACAATATTATGCTATTATCTGATCTATGTTATAATATTTCCTCATTACAAACATTTGGAGTTGTGTTTTGTTTCATTCACACACACGTTTTAACACACAAAACCTGCATTACCCTATTTTGGCAGTGTTCTTCTCTCAAACAGAAAACACTCTGTTCCACCTTGTGATGTCATGTGGTAATACAGGAAGTGCTCCCCTGTGTTTTTAAACTCCATACACCTTCACTAAAACCCAGTGGTGTAGTGGAGATTTTTTTAAGTGGGGGTATGCATTTCATGAATGAACCTGGACTGAACCTGTACTGAATCAGGACTAAATCAGGACTGAATCAGGTCTAAACCAGGACTAACCCAGGTTTAAACCACGTCTAAATCAAGACTAAACCAGGACTAAACCAGGACTAATCTTGAATTTGAGAAAGAGAGAACCCCGAGCCCACAGAGCAGGGTGTCCACAAAGCGTGATCCAGTCCTGGTTCCATCCTGGTTCCGTCCTGGTTCCGTCCTGGTTCCGTCCTGGTTCAGTCCTGGTGTTTAGTCCTGGTTCAGTCCTGGTGTAGTCCTGGTTTAGTCCTGGTTCAGTCCTGGTTTAGTCCTGGTTCAGTCCTGGTGTAGTCCTGGTTTAGTCCTGGTTCAGTCCTGGTTCAGTCCTGGTGTAGTCCTGGTTTAGTCCTGGTCAGTCCTGGTTTAGTCCTGGTCCTGTAGTCCTGGTTTTAGTCCTGGTTCAGTCCTGGTTCAGTCCTGGTGTAGTCCTGGTTCAGTCCTGGTTTAGTCCTGGTCCTGGTTCAGTCCTGGTTTAGTCCTGGTTCAGTCCTGGTGTAGTCCTGGTTTAGTCCTGGTTCAGTCCTGGTTCAGTCGTGGTCCCTCATGTCTCAGGTCACTATAGGACAGTAGTGCAGATATCATGAGCCTATGCAGGTTGTTTTCACCATTGCCAATCGCTCTGGTTTGACATTTAAGTTGTAGCTATTTTATATTTGTTATTTTTTTTATATCTCACGTTGGGAGAAGAAGGTGGACAGCTAACCCCCGTGTACCATGCTCACTACACCCCGCTAGAATCATGTGGATGATTTCAGAACTGGAACAGCAAATCTCTACTGAACTAAAGGTAAAAGGTAGCACTTAACTTGAAAACTTCCACTTCATGACATCATAAGGTCGAACAGAGCAAATTGAGCTTTGGACTTTACTCAAACATGTATGAATGAAACAAAACACCAATCCTTAATAGCAATACGAACATTAGATAGCAATTTTAACATGGATAAAATAAATTAAAGCTAAATGAGATGCAGTCAACCAAGAGCCTTTCTAAATAATTCTACCTCATCTATTTATACTTCACTTTCACAGCTTCCTAGTCTGCTACTACTGTACTGTATTTTAGATTTAGGCTTAGACTTAGACAAGCTTTATTGATCCACAAGGGAAATTATTTGGACACACTAGCTCTGACATAATAACAAAGACTAAAAAATATAAATGGTAATAATACATTCTAAATAAGTAGCAAAAATGGCAAGACTGGTGTCAAATAAGGCATAATGATATCAATGTATATGTACAAGTAAAATAATTAAGAAATGATTCAGGTATTTCATTACTTGATTACAATTATTTCTTCTTTATGAGTTACTCTGCCATTTTAACAATGTGTAATTTTCAAAGGGCATGTTCTGTTGACCTAACTAAACTTTGGCTCAGATATCTGTCAGACTTTAAGCTATTTGTGAACAAAACTTCCTCTTTTGGTCATTACCCAATAAGGGCTACATATATTGCAGACAAAGTTGTGTGATTGTGGTCCAGAAGTTTACTTTTAGAATCTTACTTTTTAATTTCCCAACCTTTAATGATTCACTGACTATGATTAAATTGGAAAGTTACACAAGCAGATCGGAACACTTTGGAGTGATGGAAAACAATGCAACTTGGGTTTTTTACTTGCAAATATAATTGTTAGTTTTTGTTTTCATGGTTTTGTGGGTTAAAATTCACATTCACTTCAAATTTACTTTTCACACTTTGTGGTTTTACAAAAGTGTGAAGAGTCCCCCGCTTTAAAAGGAAGTCAGATGTGTCAGCATCTGTGTACACCAGTTTAACGACTTTTTCTTTAAAGGTTAAAATTTATTTCCATGAAGATAAGAAAGTAGAGTTCAGGTCAGTAAGAATACTAGGTATAGGTCAGATCTGTGAAGAGGCGACCCAGCTCACAGGAAGAATGTATGTTTTTCAAGGTGCAATTTTAATGCCTGTAACTGAAATAACACTAGACACATACTGTAAGTTTAATGTCAACCAATAAGCAAAGCAAAACATCTCCATGGAGACAATCAGATAACAGACCCTCACTAGAAAAGTTACATGATGAAACTTTAAAGGGTCCATATTATGCTATTTTCTCATCTATGTTATAATGTTTCTTCATTAAAAACATACCAGGAGTTGTGTTTTGTTTCATTCACACATGTTTAACAGACAATTTCTGCATTTTTATTCTGAGTTCTTCTCTTAAACAGAAAACGCTTCTGCCTTGTGATCTCATGTGGCAATACAGGAAGAGCTCCACTGTGTTTTTAAACTCCATACACCATTCACAGTCAGTTGGAGAATTTCACCCCAGAATTGTCCATTTCTACTGAACTAAAGGTAAAAAGTAGCTTGAAAAGTAAACTTGAAAATTACCACTTCGCGACATCATAAGGTGGAACAGAGCAATTTGAGCTTTGGAGATACAGACAGACAAATAATAAAGGATTACTCAAACAAAATGTAACTCCAGGTAACAACATCATAACATGGCTAAAAGCTTATAAGAGTTCATTTTGAATCATATAGGGCCTTTAAAGTGAGGCCAAACCAAACATTTAAATCTAATATGTGATTTCTTATTTTGTTATTTAGTTAAAAATTTTGAGTAAATAGACATAGACTCCATGTGGGTGGCCTATTTCATTATGACACCCTTGGCTGTGTTCAGTATAAAGTTTTTACCATAGAGGTCATCATGACATCTCAACAATATGACTCACTCACATGATTTCATTTAGCGTGTTATAAAGAACTCTTCACCTGACTAATGTAGGTGGGTACACTTATGCTTAAAAGTCATATATTAAGCAAAAATGACTCTTGCAAGCTTTTAACTGTGATATAATGTTGTGACCTCCTCAGAAACATACATGGTGCTGTGTTTTGTTTCATTCTCACATGTTTGAGTATGGCTGTTTTGTTAGTCTGTGTACATGTCCAAAGCTACCTTTTAACTTTAGTTCAGTAGAGATTCCAGGGCTGAAATGATCTAAATGATTGTAGTGAAGGTGTGTGGAGTTTAAAAAACAGTGGAGCACTTCCTCTATTACCACATGATATCACAGGGTAGAACAGTGTTTTCTAGTTAAGAGAAGAAAACAGTCGAAATATGCAGGGTTTGTGAGTTAAAGATGTATAAATGAAACAAAACACAACTCCAGGTACTGTATGTTTGTGATGAGGAAACAATATTATAATATAAACCAGAAAATAGAGTAATATGGGCCCTTTATATATATAATCTGATAAACATTATTATATAGCTGTACACAGTGTTGGAAAGCAACTCAATACATGCACCGGAAATGCATATTCTGAATACAAATTTTGAGTAATTGAATTCCACTATAATTACTTTTTCATTTGGTGGTAGTCTATGTTGCGTTTTTACACTAAAATTTAAGTACAATGTGATGTAAAAGTATTCTAAGTATTTAAAATAAAGTACTCTGATTGGCCTACACATTAGTCATATTTGTTTACATATTTCCTGTCAGGTTGAGATAGAGGAAAATAAAATTATATTAAATCTGCAGATAAAAGTTTCTAAATTCTTTTAGTTTGTCCCATCATAGTGTTGCTGATTTTGTTCTTAAAATGTAATACAGATTAACCCAATGGAAAAGTTTTGCATAAAAAGATCTTTTATCCCAGGGGTAATCAAACTAAGGCCCACGTGGAGACTCCGGCCCTCCACGCCCCTTTGACCGGCCCCCCAAACCCTTGAATTGGCCCTATGAAGCAATCCTTAAAACTTGTCATGGCCTTTTTTTTTTTATTAATTTCTGGCAAATAATAACACATCTGCAGTTTGTATTTTTTTGATTTTTTTCAATTAGAAACGATTACATGAAGTATTTATTTTTATATTTAAATAATTATATGACGTATTTACATTTGCTGCCGAATTTTCATCACCTGACAAGTTCAAGATCAAACAGTGACAGTCAACGCACGCGCAGAGTTCTGTAGTGCAGTAAAGGACAGCAAAATGGTGAGTGTTAAAGTACAAAAAGTTGACAGAGAGTCAGCCGATTATTTTTTTTGTTCAGTCTAAGGACCATGCAGTTTTGTCTGACATGTAAAGAAAGTGTTGCGGTGTTCAAAGAATATAATCTGCGTCGTCAGGCTCATACAATTCTGTTATACGGCCGACTTGATCCCGGCCCCACATCACAGTCAAGAGAGGTAATGTGGCCCCCAGAGAAAAAAGTTTGGTGACCCCTGTTTTACACTAACACTATCAGAAAGGAATAAATGTTATAATTTTTGTGGGGAAAAAACGATACACATAAATCATTCAATGACTTCACAGCATATATTTAGTCCTTATTTCTTATTTATATTGCACACATGTTATATTAGGAAATGTGAGAGGGATGACTCATAGCTATAACTGTAAAAGTCCTTGTGATGT